AACGTACCTTCCCTTATCAAGTAAAAAGTGGGGTGTTATTCAGTTTCCCAACCTGCGATTGCAGGTTTGTATTTGTTTGCGTTTTTCCTGAAAAAAAAAAATCGCTTACAGGTATATAAGCGATCGAAAGCTTAGACTTTCTCTTCTAACAATTCTTGAGAAAAACTCTCTGATGTTTTTAAAGTGTGCGTCAGACTTGCGGCTAATCTTTAATATGAGCCCGCACTGATTAGGCATATCGCTGTGGTAAAAGCGTCATATAAGGTAGTTGTAGTGTGTTTCTTTAATTCAAGATGGCGGAAGCCGCAGCTGACGATGATGTGACCTTGCCAAGAGGTTTGTGATGAAGTTATGAGATCGTCATGACTCATTACTCTTCATTTCTACAATTATGGGCACCAAATATCTTATTTTAGTCCTCAATATCTTTTTCCGCCGTAAAAAGTGTCATTTGCGCCTAAATTTCAGTTAAAGATTGGCCTTCCCTGTCATGTATACAAGCTCACTTCCCTGTTTTTTTATGAGATCGAACGTCAAATCGATAGCTTCTTTTCGAGTTTGACTTTTTCTTAACAAGAAACTGACAAGGATGTTATGCTGAATGAGATTTGTAGTTGATTTTTTTTATCGTATAGATTTAATTATTAGGGGTCAAGAAATGAAAGGGGTATTCATAATAGTGTAGTACAGGTTATCGCTTTCATGGGCAGGTGAGCATTGCGTCTTATTTTTCCATCTCCAAATACGAGTTTGAGATCGAGGAAAGTTTGAGGGTACTCGATACAATGTAGCTTTCTATCAAACTGTGATATCCAGTTTGAAATATTTCTGCTAAAATTTATATTCACAAATATATATTGAACCTTTCCATCAATGGATAAAGCATATTTTGATACATTCTTTATTCTTGATAGCTGCTGTTAATAAGATGATTAAGGAGATGATACCAAATGTGCGAGTATCCAATGATGCAAGAGAACTTATTCTAAACTGTTGTACAGGTGATGATAAAATTTTATTTTGACAAACTTGGGTCAGTATAATTATTATGATTTATTTATTTATTTATTTATAACAGTTTCTCCAAATCTAAATTACTAAATAAATAAGTTAATAAATAATAAATAAATAATGAATAATAATAATAATAATGATGGAGAGGCAGCATCCAAAAGCGTCTTAGACACCATACGAGGGATGCTTCCCAGTAAGCTAACAAAATATATTTATAATATTAAGCAACAATTATCAGAGTATAAAATTTAATATAAAAATATTAAATTGAATTAAATCTGAAATTCTAAGTATTACCAAAAAATGAAGTGACTTTATGTTTAAGGCTAGAAATACTGACAGAATCCTTTATTATTATTAGGAAGACTATTCCATTCATTAACAATACAGATAAAAAAGCTATATTTAAAAATATTTGTTCTACTGTACATGCTGATCAGGTCAAGAGAATCATTCTTCCTTAAATTATAATCCACACTACCATCTATACAGAACAACAACTTATTAGAAATGTCCATATCATAGTGCCCTTTCATTAAATTGAAGAAAAAAACAACGTCCCTGATGTATCTTCTATGAAATAAACTTTGTAATTTTAATTTCTTTAATCTAATATCATAATCCTCACCAGATTTAAGAATAAACTTAGTTGCCCTCCTCTGTATTGCCTCTATTTTATTAATGTTACGTTGTGTATAAGGATTCCAGGTCTCACATGAATACTCGAGCAGTGGTCTGGCAAGACTACAATATAATGTTCTCAATGTGGCAATATAAATAGAGAGATACTTTATTAAGCACATAATCCATAAAGCTAAGTCACTTATTTACAATGAAGCTTTGCATCTAAAATATTAAAAACATGCACACAAACTATCTTTTAAATCCTTACATGTTCTTTTCACCAAACCAACAATCTTATTAACCTTAGCACATACGGAATCTACATGTACGTTCCATGATAAATTAGAGCTGGTAAGAAGACCTAAATCCTTGTGTTTATGTACACTTCCATGATGATGGCATTGAAGATGATAATGATGTTTACAAGTAGTGCACACCATTGAAATAAGCATTGAATTGTTTTTACAGTATACATGCTTATATATTTTTGCTTTGCTATTATTTATTGCATTACAGAGTTCATTCATCTAGTTTCATCAGAGGCAAATGAAATTTGTAATCGTCAGTTGAAAAACACAATTCTACCAGAGCATGTTTTTCAAGCTCTACAGGTGAACACTAAGTCTGCTAGTTGTAATTTAATTGTACCAGCCAGGGATTTTATTAAAAGCCAGCAACCGGAAAAATCTGGTGGCTACTGTCCACAACGGAGCTGGCTACCATGGCCATTTCACCTCCCGGTTTTTGCGTGTTTTTTGGAAAACCTTCAATGTATTCTTAAGGCAGTCATTGATAAAGGTGTTTTTTGTTGTTATTTTGTCTTCTTTTTGGTTGTTGGATGATTTTTGTAACAAGTTCTAACAAATCAATCAACAACGTATGATCGGTTTGCGGCATGCCATGTTGAATGGAAAGAACAGAAAGACTGGTGACCAATCTGCCCAGATTACAGCTGAACTGTCTTCTGCCTACTCTTGTCCTAATGTATGCCTACTTCCGAAATTAATGAAATCCCTGACCAACGCTGTTAGGTTCTGATGGCTTAACAAAGTTGTCAAAACACCCAGACTAGTTCTCAGAAAGGATTGATACAGAGTTTTTTACAGTCAGAACTCAACGCTAACAGTCGCCAACTTGCTACAGACTAGTAGAAATTCAGTTTTTGCTAGTAGTTTTTGATTTCCATGAGCCAGTTTGGCTGGTTAAACAAACCGAAATTGTTTTAACATCTAAGTTGTCAGTAGCCACTTGGCTAGTAAGTTGAAAAGTTATTGTTGAGCCCTGACAGTCTACACATCTAACTGGACTTGTTTCCAATCTATTTGCCCTTTTAACCTTTTGAGACCCAAGGGTGACCAGCATCTAATTTCTCCTTACAATATCAGCCCCCGAATCAAACATTAAGGTCATGAGAATAAAGAAAATGATCACCAGCTGAAGAAGCTCCTGATTGTTAAACAAAGCCTCGTTGTCTGCACCTTAGGAAACATAACGAGAACAGAATGGAGAATATGCATACTGATGTTAGAGTATAACAACAACAACAAGAACAACAACATTTTATTAAAACCAAGATAGAAAAAGTAATACATAGATTTTGAAACTTAAGAGTAAGGTATTAGCTGCCTATAATAACTATAAGGGCTAGGAAAATTAGGCAACTATCTATGAAATAAAAATTAGAAAAGATTACAGTCATGTGTATTAATAAAGTAAAAGTAACCTAAGAATAGAGATATAAATAGACATAAAAGACAAAGTTACAAGCTAACATTACACAGGGGCGAGAACAACAAAAAAAAGAAAACAATGATATTTGCAACAAGAATCATGTAAAGGGTAAACTTTTTTCTCTTGATGAGTAGCCATTCTCTGCACTTCCTTTCATGTCATTTGGAAAACTTTTGGGATGAGGCACTTTGTGGAAAAAGGAAGTTTTTCTTAGATTTCTCCTCCAAAGTTTTATGGCATTTAATGTATCTTTGGCTCAAATGACTCTGTTATTTTGGGTTGGTGATGTTTGAAAATTTTCTCTTCTCTTAAAACTACATGTAAGGTTTACAAGGTATACATAATGGTGCCCTCTGTGATATAAGGTTTTGGAGTCTTACCTAAATTGATAACTTTAGGTTGTTTATCAGTTTTTCTTGTTTGATATCAAATTTCATTCCTGGAATGAAGTATTTGTATTCTTAATAAGTGAACAACTTTTCTAATTTTCAAGGGATTGGGTTTTACTTCCTACATTGAAGAAGTGAGATCAGTTCTTCAAGAATGTAAAACACAAGCTGCTGTAAGTAAACTGAACATGTATATTTATGTTTTCTAGTGGGGTTTCCTTGATAGGTTGTGAGTACTCATTTAAATTCCTGTGTAGACAGAGACAGTATGAGAGTAAGGTGTTTTGTTCAAGAACACTTTACTAGATGATTCAGCTATAGTCTGATGTGATAAATACAGGGTTCCTGCACTCTTTGAAAGTCCTTGAATTTAATTTTTTGTTTCAAGCACTTGAAAATCCTTGAATTTAGAGTCGGGTCCTTGAAAATTTCTGGAAAGTCCTCAAAATAAGTGCAGATCGATGAATCAAAGTCAGTGTTTAGTGTAAGTTTCTAGCACAAATTGTGAAAACGAGTTACCCTTTCAAATCCCGCGTTGGAGTGTGATGTTTGACGCATGATTTTAACCTTGGTCACCCAGCACGTGATCACTCTGATGTACATGCTTAAAGTCGCACCCATTGGACTTGTCAGCTCTTCCTTTTTACTGCAAAAGGTCCTTGAATTTGAGAGCCAAGGTCCTTGAAAATGATCTAAAAAGTCCTTGAAAATCCTTGAACTGGGTTCCTCAAAAAGTGCAAGAACAGTGTAAATAGTTCAGATCTTGGTGTCTCGCACACTAACTGGCCCATGCAGTTGGAGCATATCCAGGTTTCTGTACCATGACAAGACTAGAAGTGTTGGTTCTCCACCTGGATGGGATGTTGGTCCATCACAAGGTTACCCCCAGCATTTCTTTACTTTCCCCTTTAAGGTCACAGTCTATCCATCTATATTCCTGGGTGGAGAGAGGCAGTGAGATAAAGGAGTGTCTTACCAAAGAACACACCACAATGACCAGACTAAATCTCAAACCCCGACCTCTCAAACCAAAGTCTAGCGCATTTACTGTGAAGCCACTGCATCTCCGACGATTATTAATAATGAGAATGTCAATTATTTCTTTGACAGAATAAAAGAAGAGCCAGTACACGACTAGAGAATCTGGTAAGAATCATGTACTGCATATGTAACCATCTCCCTGCCAATAATGGCCAAAAGGTCACAGACTACTTTGTTTAATCAAAATGATGACAAGGAGAAACTGAGAAAGTTTAACTGGGGGACAGGGTTTGATTTGAATTGAAATTCCTGGATTTTAAACTGTCCAGGTTTATTTATTCACTCTTTTCATTGCAGTTTAACCATTTAGCAACTAAGAGTGACTAGCATGTAATTTCACTCCACCGAATCAAACACAAAATTTATAAGAATTAATGAAGTGATCATTCAATAAAGAATCTTTTGATTCTCAAATAAATTCTCCTTGTCAGAGCCACTGGAAATATATAGAGAACAGAAGATAGAAGATGCATATTGATCCTACAGGTGTATGGGGTTAAAACCTGATTTATCGAAAAGTTCACTAGATCTGTACAGTACTGTGGGTCACTGGATTAGAAGAAAATCCTTTTTGCAAATTGGAATAGCTGAGGTGTGAATCTTCATGAAAGAGACAGATTTTTCTTTGCCAATTTTTCAGAGGTCAGGTATCTAATATGTTTGGTCATTGTATCTTTATTAATTATTATTTTGCCATTTACATTTATGTCACTTGCAGGGTATCCCTGAGGAAGAGTTGTTACGGCAACAGCAGGAACTCTTTCAGCAAGCAAGAATTAAGCAGGCTCAGGTACATGCAGTAGGCTTCAGAGATTAAAGAATTCATTCATTATGCAATTAGTAATTCTCTCTAATTACTCCTATGAATTTCCTGGTGAATTAGACTGGAGAATTTGATGTTAAATCAAGTTAACACGCATTATATGATCAGATAGTTTGTTCTCATTTCCTGTTTGCAAGACGACATATTGAAATTGCAAGGAGATGTTGGGTGTTGATCAACTGTGGGAGTTAAAGGGTTGACGAAAACTCTGTTGGTGAAGATGACAAATGCATTAGCATGTAATTTGGTTTTTTCCAACTGAGTTGATAAAGTAAATTGGCCACTGTAAAGAGTTTCAAAGCTGACGTTTCAAGTGTTACATTAATTTTTGATGAGGGGTTAATGCTCAAAGCATCAGCTTTGAAACTCATTACGCTGGCCAATTTACCGCCTCCCGGTTAGCTCAATTGGTAGAGCGCCGAACTGTTGCATGGGAGGTTGTGAGTTCAAATCAGGCCGGACCAACACTCAGGGTCTTTGATTAACTGAGAAGAAAAGTGCTGCCTTTGTAATAATATCTGCAAATGGTTAGACTTTTTAGTCTTCTCGGATAGGGACGATAAATGGAGGTCCCATCTCCTGCAGGGTTGGGGGTAGGAGACGTTAATTTCCAACACGAGAATGCTGTGTGATGGATGTCCTCCCCGGGGTGGGATAGATGGGTAAAAAAGGTGTTAGGTGTCAATTGGAACGAAAGTTCTGTTCCTTTCTCCTGCCATTCCTGTGGCGAATGAATTAAACTTAAACTTAAACATAAACTTAAACTAAACTGATAAAACCCAAATTAGCTTGCTGCTCCCATCAATGCAGCACCACAGTTTCTATAGAAACATCCACTCATCCCCTTTTACATGTAAGGTTACTTGTTATAGTCAACCCTTCTTACTAATGACAGGGACCTGGTTCACATGGTTGTTTTTTTTTTGTTTGTTTGTTTGTTTTTTTTACATCATAGGCTGAACAAGAGGAATTCCAGCAGCTTCAACAAGCTCAAACATTGGCTCAACAACAACAACAACAACAACAACAAATGCCACAGCCTAGTACATCAGCTGTGTCATCAGTTAAAGCACAAACTAATCAATAGCAAGTTATCATGTTTGCTCATATTATCTCTGTCAAGCAATTGTCAAAGGAGATCACCATGTCATCTTTGCAAAGAGGGGAGGGGGGTAATGAGGGAAGTGGGGGGGGGAGCAGGGAGTTGAGAGCCTAAGATGATAAGGGGCAGTGGGTTACAGGAGGCTGCAGAGGATGGAACAGGGGGAGTATAAACTGTACAGACCAGTCATTGAAACAAAGTTTAGGCATTAACAAAACCTTGTTTCAAACTATCTGCTATTTAGCCCAACCTTTTATCTGAACATTTTAGTTCTGTGAACAGTGTCAAGAAGGTTAAAAATTGACAGAGGAAATAACTTTTATTTTAATTAAACAACCTTCTTATAGAGAATACCTGAGACCTACTGCTTGGGAAAAACCGTAGTTTGGGTTAGACGTTGTCTTAACAACCAGCCCTAACAGGTCAGGATACAGAAACATAGGTCCAGAGTGTTTTGCATTAATGCAGGGCTCTGAGCTTAACTTTTTTCAAAGCTGCCATTTGGCAAACTAAAGTTACCATTTAAGTTACTAAGGAAAGATGAAGAATGAGACATTTTGTGCAACATTAAAAACTATCTTATGCAAATGTTTACCTATTTGGACCAGTTGAGCCAAATTTTGTAAAATTGGCAATTTTACATCTTAAAACTAGTTGCAAAAGTTTTTTGGAAGATGGAGGATTACAGTCAAGAAGTTAGAAATGCAGTGAGAGGGAGAACAAGGTATAGGAAGGAGTAAACTCTTACTCCCCACACCCCCTCCCCCTGCCTACATATTATTATTTTATTGGCAAAGACAAAAAGATTTAAATCTTAGTTTTCTACCTGTTGAGCCTGGTAGAACTATCATGGCTTTCCAATTTCAGGAAGATGCTGTATAATTATGTCAAAAACCCACGTTTAACTTTATATTTGATAGAATGACATCCTACAAGCCATGCACCTTGGGTTAAGCTTCATTGTTCTACAAACCTGCCTACTTACTATTTTCAATGGCTCTATGGATTGGTTGTAATTTCTTTGTATTATTGTCTCCATTAAAAGTTACTTCATTGTTATTAGGCACTTGTCCTCGTTCAAGATTTAACTCTTATGCAGGCTCGCAACGTAGAATATCTTTTTCGTCAGTGATCCCATGAGTTTCGAAGCATTTTCATTTTATCCCAAAACCCAGAATTCCGGCTAATACTGATCCTTGATTCCTCGATCATTCTATACCTTGACATGAACCAGGGGTACCACCAAAGTCCCCTCTGTGATTTTAAGTCCACCCTATTAGCATGGTAGAACAAGTGCTCCAACTTGAAGGTGGTTTCCTTTTCTCTCGCGTCCTCAAAAGAAAAGGGTAGGGCCTTGGAAACAAATTGTTAAAATGGAGGGTGGGGCATCTCTTTTCATGAGTTTGTGTAGCAACGAACAAAAGAGGCCCGAGGGATAGGCAGCGAGTAAACGATAACTGGAGTCAATGCGTTCTATAATTGGTGGAAAAGTGATAAAGTATAGTAAAATAAATAAATTACTGTTGTTCCTCCTTCGTCATCGACGAAAAGAGTCGAAATTTATGGGAAAGAAAATCAGACCTAGGTGATGGAGCAAGAAATGGAATCAAACCAATGGAATCAACCAATGGAATCAGACCAAGAAATGGTATGAACTCTCAAATGACATTAGAATAAAAGTGGGCACCAAAGAAATAGTAAACAGAATTAGATCTTTGAATTTCGGGGATTAGTAGATTTGTAACGTTAGTTTTAATAGTATTTTGATTGCGGCGGTAATATTGTAATAAAAAGCTTTTAATCAGTATTTATTTTGTGATTTTACCAGCTGTGATATTAGCGAAGTTAGCTGTTAGGTTTTCATTAGGTATTAGGTGGAATACCTGTAAACTAGCTCTTAAGCTAAGCGTATTTCCACGTTGAATAAAGTATTAGTATTAGCATTATTAGTGATAAGGATTTGAGTTAGCTGATGGAAAGTGATTTGGAAAAAAAATGTTCTTCTAGGGAAATATTTGGCCCTTGTGGCGCAGCTGGGCTTTAGTGAGTTAGAAATCAGCCTTCATTTTACGATCGACCAAACTAACCGTAGGGCTTGTCGTTGTTTTTCTGTCCGTTTCTCAAAGTGGCAAAACTCATTTGAATTACAAATATTTATGAAAATTAATATTCGTGTTTGCGATTAGTCAGTTGGACGGGGAAAAAGCTTGCGAGCTACTAGAAGTTTTGGCGTCTTTTTCTGCTATTCTGGTGCAAAGGAAGTCATAATTTCAATGTTATTACCCTGGATATCGTCCGTTTTATCAAGGCTGCGTTTGTTTGTACGAGAATGCTGAATCTAGTGGTTAAACTTTGAGGCCGAGAATTGAAGGTGTCAGTTTGTCACAACTCATCTTTCAAGGTGAATAACCATTGCAAAAATACATTCATTCTAGAGATAGGCCGTTAATGTTTTTCTGTTGCTGCTCCTGAAAGTTAAATTTCAAAAAGTAACAACACATTGCTTAAAGCACAATGAAGAAGTATTCTCTAACGACAGCCGCCATGACAGGTACTTCTTACCATGCAAGCGTGCGACTTTTACGGCAATCGAAGAAATTCAGTCCTGCCATATTGTTGTCATACTGCTTTCTTCTCCTATCTTTACGCTTATATCGATACTATTGATCAACAGTTTATTATACTTTAAAAGACGTTCTCATCTTGAAATTACTTTTTAGTGCGCTTGTTATTTCAGTCCCGTACCCCTGATCTACGCTTAAGAGAAGGAGAGAGATCGTCAGAAGGTTTCGACATACAATTCAATTGCTAACATTCAAAATGAGCTCGGAACCTGATCAGATGTTTACTTGCTTGATCATCGCAAGAAAATTTTAGGTTGTCCTCGTTCAGTTAAATATTCCGGCTCTAGTTGAGTTTTTAGGTCTAGAAATCCGATCTTCAGTATCATTCAAAGGAAAAAGTCTTTTAGATAAAGATGGTTAGTAAATATTGACATGATATGTTTTTCTTTTCCCTATATTTACTACTGATGTCAAGCACGGTCCGGAAACATCTCGACACCAAGAATTTCAAGGAAGGAAAGTAAACCAGGATATTTTTACTGACGAGGTTAGATGTTTACAAGTACAACAACAACTTTAATATTTATCAAACAACAACAAACATATGAAACATATGTGTGAACTGCGGTTATGAGACGTATATGAGCACGATCCTTCGCAGTAAAGCACTATTTGAGCAATAGTGAAAATCAGACCTGAAAAAAATTTCAGGCCTGTACGGGATTCGAACCACTGACCTCTGCGATACTAGTGCAGCGCTCTACCAATTGAGCTAACAAGCCAACTGGGAGCAGGCCATCAAATTAATTCGACATAAACCCGTAGATGATAAATCAAACAACAACAAACATATGAAACATATGAAAGGCCCTCAAAAAAGCTTTGAAGACATGCTAAAATATCAAAAAATATGAAATATGCGTAATATTAAATATTTTCTTCGAGTCGAGAATATTTTTTTCCCCGTGTCGAGAATACCCAATGTGCCTTGCTACCCTATCCCTCTGGTTTTGTCAAGCAACATGGCGGCCTGGAAGTCACGGTCATTGTGTGCTTGTGGCCTTTTTACACGCCGTAGTTGTTCTTCAAGTCACTGAAGGTAATATGGAGGACCTGGAGAGGTTTCTTTCGTCGATACAAGATTGTATTTGCCGTATAGAACAAGAAACAGCTCCTGACAACTATGGAAATATGGAATATTTACACGGTCGGTAGAAGGCTTTGTTCATATTATCGCGTCGTTTTCTTTGGTTCTCGCAAATGTGCAGGGCTTTCTGGAGATAAAGGTGCTGATTGAGGATCTTTTGCAATACCTGCGGGAGTTACTTTACCATAGCAAAGAAAAAATTGCTCGTTATGTCGAAGATAGTACCGAGTTTCGTAATGTACCTAAGTTCCCAGAAAGATGTTCATTAGGTAGACCAAGATACAGCGTAACAGCAGAGCAAATTGAAGTACTTCGCCGCACCGGTATGCAGTGGACAGCTATCGCAAAGCGTCTTGGTATAAGTACCAGAACTCTGTCCAGAAGAACAGAATTAGGTATAGTTGATTACAGCGATATTGATGCAGAGGGCCTAGATAGGAATGTAAGAGATATTTTACGATTAACACCATTCTCTGGTGAAACGTACGTACGAGGAGCTTTAAGAGCACGAGGCATTTTTGCTCAGAGGTGGAAAATCCGGGAAGCCTTACAAAGAATTGATCCTGTAAACCGTGCCATTAGGTGCAGATATTCAATTCAAAGACGTCTCTAGAACGTTAAAAAACCAAATCATTTGTGGCATATTGACTCAAATCACAAGCTAATCCACTGGAGGATTGTTTTGCGCGGCTGCATTGATGGGTATAGTAGAGCAATAGTTCACTTGAAGTGCTTCACTAACAACCTAGCAAGTACAGTCTTGCAGTGCTTTGTTAATGGCATACAGGAATGTGTACTTCCATCACAGGTAAGAGGGGATAGGGGCGGGGAAAATATAGATGTAGGTGATTCAAACATTTCATAAAAACTAAATAGCTAATTGCCTTAATGGGGCTGACTCACAAGACAACTTTGACAGTGACAGTGAAATAAATGCAAAATATTTGATAAGACCATTAGCATAGAGCCAAGAGTAAAGTTGTTTTTTCGATATAACATAGAGACAAGGTTTCTAAAGCGTTACTTATACCTCGTCGTTGTTTGTGTGGGAGCACTCGATGACGTGGAAGCCGGGGAAGATGTCAACACTGAACTTGACGTTGACGCGCTAAAAATTTGAAATAAATGGAGAAATTTGTGTTTTAATGGTTTTATGTTAATTTAACGAGCAGTGAAAAGAAAATAAAAAGCGAAGTTAACATGATGCTTTTAAAACAACGATAAAACATTTTAAGTAGGCATAGTAAGTAACGCAAATTATTTGTGTATCATTACCTTGATGAGGTTGAGACACTTGACGATGTCGATGCTGAACTTGATGTCGAAACACTAAAGTAAAATTAAAGAAAAGAAAGCTCATTTGCTTTCTATTGTTGGCTTTGTAACTTCGTTGAAGGAATACTTCTTACTTATGATTTTCAGTGTTTACGTGGTTAGTATTTGTGTATTTTTCTTGAGCGCACACTCAGTTTAGAGCCTCGCTCTGTTGTGTATCCCGCACCTTCGTCCCTCGTTCTTTTTACCTTTCGAAAAGTATTTTTTTTTTAGCACAAATGAATCAATGAATAAACTTAAAAACTACAATTGCGGATCAAAGATTTTTTATACCTTGATGAAGTTGACAGACTTGACGAACTTGAAGTAGATACACTATAAAGAGAAATAAAAAGGAACATGAGAAAACAACTGCAACAAATGTAGAGAACCACCACTAAAAAACTGTTCCCGGTTTTTTTAAAACGTTGCCCAATTTAAAAAGTGCAACCAATGAAGAATAGCACCACTAGAAATCAATCAAGTTTTACTAAACTTTGCTTGGTGCGGTTGTATCAGCAATTCCAATTATTTGCCACTGTCTTAGGCCTCTTGAAGCTATACCCATTTCAAGTTGCATTTAATTTATTTATTTATTTATATTTCAAAAATTTTTTAAAACCTTAGCAAATAATTACTCTCTAAGTCAATGACTGATCTTCTTTGTTTTTGTAATAGTGTACTTCTCATTTTTTCCATCAATATTGTAATTTAAGGGACACATATATGGTCTTTTTAAAAATTTGGAACACTGAGTCCATTTCAACTCTCCAGAAGTGTAAACACCGATCTAGTAAAGTTTATCTATAATATCGATAAAGGCTAATGATAGTTTTTGTACTACTTTTATCGATCAAAACCACCTTATTCGAGGTTTAGACCAAAATGGTCACATCTATAGTAATGTGAACAAGATAAAGTCCCTACCTCGTGGTAGTTGGTGTGGAAACCGAAGACGATGTTGACACTGATGATGATGTTGAAGCGCTTGATGATGTCGACACTGATGATGATGTAGACGCTGATGACGATGTTGAAGTAGTTGATGACGACGGTGATGAAGAGGAAATACTGGGATATCGGTTTAAAAATTGTCAATATTTTCATAACTCATAAGAGTGCGTATTCATTACTCTTAAATTTCTTACTCATTATTGGTATTTGAAAACCACATTGACCAAGCTATATATGCAATGGTGCAATTATGTGCAGTTGGGAATAAACTGTTAAAAAGAACAACACTTCATCGTACCTTGATGACGAAAGGCTTGACGAGGAAATGCTGCAGAAAAAAATTGGTGGTTAATTTACATCTTAGCATCATCAAACCCACACGTATTAAACTCCAGTTTTACAGCTATGGCGAGCTACGTCTATTTCAGACATCTGTGCTAAGCGGAATTCTTTGTCGTAGTAGGATAGGGTTGTACGGTGAAGTTATTCACTTTTTTGTTGGTGATTAACCAAACACTACTAGTCTATTTCGTAATTTTCATCAAAAAGGGTAACAAATCAATGACTGTTTACTCAAACTGAAAGAGTCTTAGTATTGTTCCTACCTTGTACTTCCTGATGACAGGGAAGTAGATAAAGATGAGGTAGACGCACTTGTTGAAAGTGATGAAGTGGAGTATGTAGAACTTTTTGTGCTGCTGGAAGGATTAACGTATGGATAATAAGTGAAGTTGAATGATAAACTAATTAAGATTATTTGGGAGGTGGATAAGAACACTACAGAGGAATTTACTATCCCGAGACATTTGCATATTTCCTTTTCTTCTTTAGCCATGTAAGTAAAGAAAGCCCTGGTATCTCTTTGCCTTACATCCATAAAGGTATTTCAAAACAACCGTGTAACTCTTGCACGAACCTTGAAGACGTTGACGCTGACGAGGATGTGGAAATGGAACTTGAAGTGGATATACTGAAAAAAAAAAACAAATCTATTGTGAAGATCGAATTGCCTTCAAAGACTGTATGTAAAATGTGCGGTAGTACACTCTTATCCAGAAAATGTGAAGTGTGCATTTTCCAGTCATTTAGCAGGGATAATTTGGGATTAGTGCTTCTTCTTTTACCTTGTTGAGGTCAGCGTTGAAAGACTTGATGAAGTCGATACTGACGATGATGTCGACACACTAAGAACCCAAAAAAATTTCTGAGGTAAGAGTTAAATTTTGTATGAGATTTCTATTGATAAGACACTTAATGTATGCGCGCCGAAGTATGGCTGCCTTATGCGACGTTTGTAGTGCTGAATGTCGATCAATAAGTTGAGCGCGGTGGTAACCCGCTTGAACGACGGAAACAGGGTAACCACGTTTATCGAAGAACTGGCACATTGACTCTGATTTGTGGTGGAAATCAGAGTCATCACTACATAAACGACGAAGTCTTAGAAACTGAGAAAAAGGAATGGAATTCTTAACGTGAGATGGATGCGAAGACGAATATAACAAGTAATTATGCGAGTCTGTAGGTTTGTAATACACACTAGTGCATAAACCGTTACCTTCAATTGAAACTTTGACGTCTAAAAAGGATAAAGAATTGTCAGAAATTTCCCAAGTATATTTCAGAGCCGGGTGAAAAGAATTGACTGCGGTTATGAATTTAGTGAGCTCCTCTCTGGTAGAGGAGGTAGCGCCGATACAGTCGTCGATGTAGCGACCGTAGAGTTCAGGTTTGGACCCGTTGTATTGGCTGAAAAATTGATGTTCGACAAAACCTACAAAAAGATTGGCATAGCTAGGTCCCATTTTGGTGCCCATGGCTACACCATTGGTTTGTTTGAAGAAGTTGTTTCCGAATGAAAAACAATTGAGTGTGAGCACTAGTTCGGCTAAGCGTAGTAGTGTTTCAGATTTAGGTTCCTTAACAGTACGTTGATCAAAAAAATGTTTAAGGGCCAGAAGGCCTTCGCCATTAGGAATGACAGTGTAAAGAGACGTAATATCCATGGTGAAAAGAAGTTTGTTTTGGCCAAGGAAATTAAAGTCTCGAAAAATTTGAAGAGCGTGTTGGCTGTCTTTAATATATGATGTTTCGCTCCGACGAAGGGCTAACGCTCGAAACGTCAGCTTTTGTAATCATTACGGTGGCTAATTTACCATTTCAACTTTGTTGATATATTCAAATTATTTCGTTACTCCCACCGACGCAGCCCCAAACAGTTTCTTTCGAAACTATCAGCCTTTATTCATTTTTATTAAGAACAGCTTGTCGATTTTCAGTTACTCTTCTAAGAATTACTATCACTCGATCACTTAGCAACTTTTTTTGTTTAGTAAGTGAAATTTTTGTTACTGAAATATACGTTAATAATTAAAATTGGGAAAAATGGTAGTACCTTGAAGAAGTTGATAAAGATGAAGACGTGGATGCTGATGACGAAGTCGAGATCGAACTCGAAGTGGATACACTGAAACGTAATGTTTTCAGTGTCAACTTCGAATTAGCAAATTATCTTACAAGATCTTTAAATCTGAATAGCAAAGTTTACTAACGGGGAATTGGTCAACCTAGCAGAACGCACAATAGACATTTGAAACAAAAGAGACATTCGCCAGTTTATTTAAAGTTTAAAACATCTATTACCTTGATGATATTGAAGACGAAGTGGAAATTGAACTATAATAAAAAACGAAGACAAAATTAAATGCAGGAAAGTCAGAGTTGGTAAAGACATAAGTAGATTATTACGAAAACCTTAAAAATTGGCGTCCCGCCTCTAAAATAAAAGCAGCAAAATTGGATACCTTGATGATATTGATGACGAAGAAGAAATTGAACTTGACGTGGAAACGCTTAAAAAAAAACAGAGGGAAAAAACATTAGATTGAAGTGCTTAGCGAAGGTCGTATTTCTTTCGAATGGGTCGAGGGCATTAGAGGCGCAGACCTCTGTTCTCCTCCGCTTTTACATTGTCTCATTTTAATTTTCAAATTTTTTCTAGTTCTAGAATTCATGGTTAACATTGAGATTTTATTTTCCAAATAAAGTCAGTTTTCTTTTCTTTTTTTAAAGATTAAGGAAGAAGGTAAGTTTTTGAGGTCGGTAGAAAGAGAATAAAAATGTCCGAGTCCCCATAAGGACTCGAAAAATTGTCCAAAATTGTTCCGAAAAAATGGAGTCATGCCACCTCTAGAAAAGTTGCAAGTAATAATCTAAACAATTAAAGGGGTTGTAGCAAGGTGATTAAGGTGTTATCAACTGAGTTGATAATATAAAATGACCACTCTAAAGAGTTTCAAAGCTAGTTCTAGAAGTTTTCGTGAAGATCTTCTCCTTCACCTTGCACAAATTCTTTATTACCAAGCTTTTCAATAGTTTAAAAATGTATTGATCTGCTTGTTTGAAACAGGTTTCATCACTTCATCTTGATTAATGACTTTTTTCTAACCGAGCGTGAAGAATATACTATTGACCAAGGACCAATATTTCGCAGTACGGCTCGAGCAAGCAAGTCTGATAAATAGTTTATTATATGGCAATCGTAGGAAACGTGTTTATTTGGAATTTGCTAGCTTTGGTGAACACAAATACACAGATCATAACCGTTTACGTGGGAAAACGGACGCAAAACGGACCCAGTTAAGAACAAATCAGAACGCTTGGATTTACCTCAGGACAAACCGGCCGTATAATAATGTATCTTACTTAGTTTTACACCAACCTTGAACTTGACATAGATGAACTGCTGACTGACGAACAAGGCTGTTCGCAAGCACCTGACTGCGCTACGCATTTCTTTCCATTGAAGTAGTTTCCAGCAGGACATGAACAACCCTCAACTTTTGTTCCACGACAACATCTCTCGTTCCCTGCTGCACATTCGCCCTTACTTTCGCAAGCGGAAGGTATGGTAATGTTTGCTTCATATCCACCACTGTTTGCACATGGTCGGCAGCAAGGAAGTTCTGTTTAAATATAGACCAAGCTTGTGTTGATGGACATACAAATTTTCAATTGAGCAGTGAGAGTAATTCCAGATTGCACCGACTTTGCCTTTTCTCGCCTCCTTATTAGTTTGGTAAATTTGCCCAAAGTGTTTCGTTTTTGGGAAGTAAAGCTGAACCAATTGCGACCTAGTCACTAATATTTTTAACATTCTAAATTCCAATTCTACTTGAAAACAGAGGACAAGAAGAACTACTTCGTGGAATGTCCACTGCTAAATCCCTTATTTAATATTACCCCATCCCATCCCATCCCATTACGTTTCCTTGCACTTGGAGTATTTTGCTTCACTTCGATTCCCATTTATTAATATCCTCGAAAATTGGATCTACATTGATTCTGGTCTGCGGTCATCCAATCAAATGGTGCTTTAATAAACGAGAGATTCACTCAATAGCTCGCGAAAATAATGATTCAAATTAATGATATCAATAAAATTCGCAATACGATCACTTTGCCGATCGACATCAGATATGACTGAAAACGTTGAGATATTTAAATCTAAGCAAAAAAAACTAAAGGCTAACTTTAAAAGAAGAATGAAGCTCCGAAAACCATTTCATTTTTATCTCTGCCACTTGGTGAATCATCCCCTTGTTGGCATTGTGCTCCCTGTTCAGGTCCGCTAAAATGACTCGAATGTACTTGTGTTGTGTGCTGAAGTCTCACAACAAGGGGTGTTTGGAATGACGACGCACACGGGTTTATAAGAGAGCACATTCAAAGAGATTAAATCATAATTTACCATTGTAAACTCAGGACACGGTTATTGTCATAACTTCATCCACACTTTATAAGTGGCGGAGAGAAAAAAAAAAGAACTTTCCTGGAGTTAACTAAGCTTTCTTAAAATGTCACTCTATCCAGCTCTTACCACAAAATCCTTCCCGACGCCACGTGATGGAGACCCCGTGTTGATTACAGGCTCTCACATAGGTTGCAATAGCCGCACAGAAACATGCGCAGTCACCTCCTTTGCTGCACAAACACGTCTCGTGAAGACAGGCCTTATAATAATCAAGTGGTGGAACAACCGCGTGACAAGTGGTAAAGTTTTTGTCCGTATACAGCATTGCACATCCTACAAAGAAAAATGAGACAGATCAAGTATTACTTTTGTTATTTTACATACAACAATAATTTTGATAAAAGGGTAGTCATAGTCGTAGTAACAGAACAGTTTTTAATGAAGTGTCGAAAGTTTTTTTTTTAATTAAGCTTCGCCGACCGGTAGGGACACCGCAACAGCTTGCGCCAATTACTGAGGGCCCAGTAAACCCACCCATC